AATGCTCTCGATGGTGCCTCTGTAGAAGGTGTACATGATGGGGGCCGGGGCTTTGGCTCTTCTTAGTTTGCGATGTATGCATTCACCTTGAGAACTTCATCTTTGTTTCCAAATCCAATGACTGAAGTTATCGATGAAATTGACTCCTTTTAAGCTGCAGATTCTTTGTAGCCATGTGTTCAGCCCAAGCAAACGTGAAAACATGTTAGTTCCCCTTGCTGGGAGTGGCCCAATGATGAACGACTGAACTTTAAGTCTTCGAAGTGTTTCAAAGAGTTCACTGAAGTCCTTCTTAAGGAGTTCTGACTGCTCTTTCCGAATATCATTCTTCCCCACATGGATGATGATTCGATTTGCAGTCTTGTGCTTCATTAGAATTTTCCAAAGTTCCTTGTTCAAATCAGAAACTGTTGCTTGAGGAAAGCAGAAAGTTGCTGAATTTCTGCTACTGATGTTTCTGATAATGGAGTCGCCCACTATCAGAGTCCTGGGCTCGGCTGCGCTCTGAGCTGAAAGTCGCTGTCTGCTCGACCTACACTTGGTATAAACTGTTGAGATTGACTAGATTCATGGGACTCACCGGCTGTATGCTGATGGGGTCCATGATGATGGTCTGCTGAGTGTTCTGCCTGTTTTGGAACTACAATGACAAACACTTGTTCTCTTTGGAGTAAAAAAGTCAATGCATTCATTTCAAAAGGACACACAAACACTGTCACATAATTATCTGACGGAAAAACGACAAGCGGATGCCATGTGCATCTTGGGTGCATTTGACAACAGCATGCTTCACTTTTTTTGATCATGGGTTCACGTAAATCAGCGGGAATCACTGAACATGCAGTTAGTGTGAAGCTCAGTGGCTCTCCGTCTCCCTGAGATGTTGCTTGTGCTGCAACGGCCAAATCTGACTCATACACACACACACAAACACAAACACGCACGCGCACGCACACGCACACACACACACACACAGCCCTACACCAACCCTACCCCTAAACCTACCCCTCACAGGAAACTTTGTGCTATTTCAGATTTTCAATACACTCCATTCTGTGTGATTTATAAGCGTTTTGAAAAGTGGGGACATGGGGTAAAAAAGTAAAAAGTCACCTTCTCCTTGTAATACCTGTCATACCTTTGTCATTATACAAATGACAACATTATACATTATACATTTATGTCCTCATTTGTCACAAAAACGCGCACACACACACTCACTCACTCACTCACACACACACTCATACACACACACACACACACTCACTCACACACACACTCATACACACACACACACACACTCACTCACACACACACTCATACACACACACACACACACTCACTCACACACACACTCATACACACACACACACACACTCACTCACACACACACTCATACACACACACACACACACTCACTCACACACACACTCATACACACACACACACACACTCACTCACACACACACTCATACACACACACACACACACTCACTCACACACACACTCATACACACACACACACACACTCACTCACACACACACTCATACACACACACACACACACTCACTCACACACACACTCATACACACACACACACACACTCACTCACACACACACTCATACACACACACACACACACTCATACACACACTCACACTCACACACACACTCATACACACACACACACACACAGAATTTGGTACAATTATATGTTACAGACTAACATAACAAAATAAAAAGGCATCTGCAGTTTCCCTCGTTGACATTTCTGATCAACCTCAATAGAAAAATTACAAAATAAACATCTTCATCTGTAGAAAGGTCTCTATTCGCAGTCTATAAAATGCCCCAGACACAGTCCGTCTGAAACAGGGGCCTTTCTCAGTCCAGATACGCTTTGGCGTCTTTGTTTTTTCATCTTGCACAAAGTGTTACACAACGTCTTAATGGGAGAAGTGCTTCACGTCCAGCAGGATTGTGGGATACGGGTGTCGTTATGTGTGCTGTGTTTGGCTGTTCTGTTCGTTGAGGAACGAGGTTGTCTCGTCTGTGTTTTCTGGAGACAGATGCAGAGCAGATGTTGTGCTGTTGTCTGGAGACTGCGGGGAACTGTCCAGCCGAGACGCCATCAGACCGTGCTGATATTGAGAGCGTGTGATCTGCAGAAACACAGGTGAAACATCAGCCATGTCAGAGACTCCACAGTTTTCGATGGATGAAGGAATAAACCTCATATGTGACCCTGCAGCACAAACCCAGTGTTAAGTCGCTGGGGTATATTTGTAGCAATAGCCAACAATACATTGTATGGGTCAAAATTATACATTTTTCTTTTATGCCAAAAATCATTAGGATATTAAGTAAAGATCATGTTCCATGAAGATATTTAGTACATTTCCTACCGTAAATATATCAAAACTTAATTTTTGATTAGTAATATGCATTGCTAAGAACTTAATTTGGACAACTTTAAAGATGATTTTCTCAATATTTAGATTTTTTTGCACCCTCAGATTCCAGATTTTCAAATATTGTTCTATCTTAACAAACCATACATCAATGGAAAGATTATTTATTCAGCTTTCAGATTAGTTATAAATCTAAATGGACCCTTATGACTGGTTTTGTGCTCCAGGGTCACATTTGTGATGCGCTGAAATGATTGCAAGTTTTCTTTCAGACAAAAAACGTGTAATTAAGTCATTACATTTATTTAAAACCCCACAGTAATGATACATCATTGGTTTTTAATAATATAATTATGCTTCTAGCCCAATAAATTGTTGAAATATAACATTTAAACGGTGGCTGTTTTAGGGCATATTTATTCAAGCATTCATTAATAATCTGCACTTTACCATCATACACTCATCTTAAACACTAAAACTAACACCACTTGACATCTTAAAATTCTCACTTCATTGTTACTTGCACTGCAGCTTTTAATACTTTTTATTGTCAATCGTTTTTTTAATTTGCATACAGGTTCTGTTT